ACAGAAGCCTGATGATGGCAGATGAGATTCTGCTGAAACGTTGCTACAACTTTAAAAGAACTACAATGACGTGGGAAAATACCCGAACCAAGCCGAACACCATACATGTAAGTACCCGCGAAAACTTAAGAAAACAAATATATATATATATATATATATGTGTGTGTGTGTGTGTGTGTGTGTGTGTGTGTGTGTGTGTGTGTATAATGTATATATATATATATATGTGTGTATCTATATATCTATATCTATATATTTATATATCTATATATCTATCTATATCTATATCTATATCATCTATATCTATATCTATATCTATATCTATATCTATCTATATATATGTCTCTACCTAGGATTGACTCACAGCCTCCTGATCGTGAGGTGAGAGCTCCACCTCTAGGCCACTGCACCAATCAATTAGTTTTCCCTTAATACATGGATATATTTATTGCCAACCATGTCTTCAGATATATATCTGCGACAAAGAGTCCAGCTCCACTTATGGGCACACTGGGGCAGTTCGTAGCAACTTCACATGGTTGACTCATGTTCAGTTTAAAGCAGGCAATACAAAAATTGATTAAAATTCAGAAGTCAAATGTAAAAAGATGATCATTTAAAGACGAGGTAGAATGATAGAGTGCTTTTTATGTCCCACGGTAAAATATTGTAGGACCTTTAAGATGTTTGACTAAAGCAGGAGAGAGAAGAAGCTGGTCTGTTTAGACTGGTTGTTTTCCCTCAACAAGAATAAACTGAATTTAGAATTGTCCCTGAAAGCGGCATCTGGTAAAGAACAATTTTCACTACCTCTCCATTCAATTCGTCCTCTTTTGTCTCTAATCCGATAAAATAATATCCGGCCTGAAGCACTAAGCAGGCACAACCTTCATTGAGGGATCCTTGGTGGTCTCTGAACTTGCCTGTTTTCTTGAAGACGTTTCAGTACCAAAACTAGGAAACAGTACTAAGTGCTAGAAAGAAGTGAGGTTTGTTGCCAGTTTAATTCAACCCTGAGCTACAAATATTCTCCTTTATTGGTACATTCTTTATTTTGCTGCTTCGAAGAAGCGTCCGCTTTTCACAGCCTCTGCACCTGCCTTTATTCAGTGTAAAATAATGTTGGTAGGTTAGGATTCCGTTCCGGAGAATGAGTTCCCTATGAGAAAATACACACAACACTTCTGAAGAAAGCCATCATTTTTGATGGCGTTGACCACCTAGAACCAAGAGATGGCGCCACTGCCCCATATATTCACGCACCGTAAGTGTGTTTACTTCCTAAGATCCTCCTCTTCCTCTTCCGAGCTTACAGGACGAAGAAGGGAGGCTGCGTGGTTCTAATCGGGCGTCGCGTGGACCAAGTATGTGCGCTGTTGTTTCTGGCCCGTTTTTTTCTAATGGCGAAAAGAGAGGAAGCAGGGAGGCAAAGCAAATGGAACAGCCTTCCGTTGCAAGAATGTTCAGCGTAGCTTCTTTCAATTCAGTGCCCCCCCGTTGTCTTGTAACCCAATTCCCATCATGTGCGGCCACTCAGGCACGGCTGTTCCCAAGCACATGTGAAAGGCACTGGATTAAGGGCGGGATGGCCGCAGCGGTTCTTGGGACGAAACAAAGGATTCAAGCGAATGCAGAGGGCAAATTTTCACTCATCTGAACCCCCTCGAATCTCTTTCGCTTGAAAAGTTTAAGACGGTTGCACCAGAAAAGCTGCGACCCTTTCTAAGAGAAAATTTCAGTTTACTCTCGTTCCTTGCGAATCCTGTAGCTTGGAGTTTTTAGTTCCCTTGCTAAAAATAAAAACCTTAATCCAGATTAATTTGTTGACCACCGGCATTAGGAGATACGCGAAGCCACTAGCTGGTTAAACCCATTGAATGGACTTCTACAAAAAAAAAAAAAAAAACAAGCAGCACTGCAGGGTTTTTTTAAAAACTATTTTGGCACTCTGGGAGTTGCAATCCATATGCATCTGAAAGAGGAAGGACTTTAAATTGCCTAAATTACAACCCTGTTTGCTTCTACTAATAGAAGGGCATATCTAGTTATATGAAACAACCATGTATAAATTCATGTAACAAGTTGCATGGCAGCAAAATTTAAATAGCTGTATTTGGAGTGATGGCTATCTTCCTTCAGCTTGCTTTTAGGCTCATATTCTGCACAAAAATGTACAATGTGCAGTATTATTGACACCAAGAAGTCCATTTAACACAAACTATTTTGAACAATTTGCAGCACTTAATTTCTGCCACAACAGTTTTGAGGTTATTTATTCATATAAATAGTAGGATTTTGCATGGATTATATTGATCATTAGAATTAATACACGCAGAAATGCAGAATATGAGGGTAGGTTTTGAGACCTTCTTGCTTCCAAGTTTAACTAAGGTAGAAATCAAGCAGCAGCAGGTACTGCTGGGGTGCAATATTCTAGTAACTCTTGGATATGCATTCAGTTTTTCTGGTCTGATATGATATTAGAATAAAGCATTGTCCCTCTTAATTGTGTGCTGTTTGATCAGAACAAAAAAATAGACCTTTGGGTTGTGATTCTTCCATAGCTGGGATGGGGGAAAGACTAAAGATCAGTGTATGCAAGCTGCCTTCTTTAACTTGGTTCTTTTCAGATAACATTTGGCCACAAAGACTGCCACTAAGTCCAGCTTATTTGGATGGCATTACAACTACTGTATATTGAAGATGATTGTATGTTGTTTTTTTCTATAAAGCTATTGATTCTGAATCTAGTGTCATTCTAACTTGTTGAAAGTTTTATATTGCCTTGTGGGCATCTTATCAGTAAAAGAGAATTTCTTCCAGAATGTAATAATTAGTTGCTGTTCACAAACTTTTCTTGTCCTCTTATTGTGGTGGTTGTAGTATTATTTTTCTCCTTGTATTATTGCTTAATCACAGAATACCTTTTCATGTAAGAGTCATGAAAATGTCATGACAAATTCAGTTTTGATGTACATGGTTTTTCATTGTGATATTGAGTAATGATGGGAAAGATTCCATCCAGGGCTGAGCCACTCATAAGTCTACAGCTGTAATTTCCTGTATAGTGATTTTTGCATATGTCTTAGAGACAAAGGTGCAATTATTCAGCAGCACGATTTCATAATTTTTGAGGTATATTAAACCATAGTTTACAAAACCCAGTGCAAACTATCTAGAAAGAATAGACAGTACAGATAATCTTCAACTTACAAACATTTAGTGACTGTTTTAAGGTGACAACAGCACTGAAAAAAAGTGACTTATGACTGTTTTTCACACAACCGTTGGAGCATCCTCATGGTCAGGTGATCAAAATTTGGATGCTTGGCAACTGGCTCATATTTATGACGGTTGCAGTGTCCTGGAGTCATGTGATCACCTTTTGCAACCTTCTGACAAGCACCGTCAATGGGGAAGCCAGATTCACTTAACAACCGTTACTAACTTAACTGCAGTAATTCACTTAACAACTGGGGCAAGAAAGATTGCAAAATAGAGCAAAACTCATTTAACACTGTTTTGCTTACCATCAGAAATTTTGGGCTCAGTTGTCAGAAGATGAGGCCCACCCAAATATATACGGCCAATTCCATTTTGTATCATTGTTTTCTTCTTATAGAGTAGTATTAATTTTGCTCCCACCAACCAAACCATAACCCATTTCTGGTCTGGACTATAAAACAAATTGAGTTTTCTTATAGTAATTTTTATTAGCACTTTTTATCATCCCATGTCCACATTAACCCTTAAGACTCTCAGAGGCCTCCAAATGTTTTTCTAGAGTTGTAACTTACTGTAGGATTATAGTTTTTATTGTAAATTGATTATTAACCATTACTCCAGGACAGAGAGACCTTTTATTTGCTTCATTATTACCCCAAACCGGAAGTTGAAAGTTCCCTATATTATTAAAAATATTGTTGACTTTGATCAAAATGAAATCAAAAGTTTTTATGCATTAGCACAATTAGGACATTGCTGATTAAAATGAAAGTAAAAGCCTTCCTGCTTTGTGATAATAATAGTTGGATAATATGTAATCAAGTAAATTAAAATCCTTATTTACAGAACAGGCATATATTACATACCCGTCACTGTAAGCTCATTTGTATTCTTGGCACACATCCTTCCCTCTGGCAATTAAAAATCAGGAGAAAGCAGAGCAGATGCAACAGCTACAGAATAGATGGACTTCCTGCCTGCTGCAAACTCCTACGACATTTTTAAAATGAGGGGACCATATGGAGGAAAAGACTTCATGGACGCCCCATCTTCTACCTTATGTGAGCCCTCCTCTTTTCAAACAAGTGCATGAGCAGAGTTTGCATGTTTTCCAAGCTCTTTGAAAATTTCTGTGTCTTTTCTAGATGTTACGTAAGGGGTTGCTTCTAATCCTATCATTCTGCCTTTGTTAGCTGTCAAATTTTTCTGCAAGCAGTTTCGAAATATCCTGTCTTGAATGGATTTCTGCCTGCAGTCCTTGCTTTGCTTATGAATAGAGCCATCTAAATAGTTGGCTTCTTCTTTCAATAAGCTCTTTATCTCTTAAGTGCTAGCATCTGCTATGAGATATTAAGAAAGATTTGGGGGCTGCTTCCTGCCTTTAAAAACATGTTTCTCCATTTCTCATTTAGGGAAATATAATATTCTGCCTTTTTTAAATATTTCTCAAAATATTTCATTCTTCTAGGAGGGGGGGCTTCCCACAAGTCTGATTAGCAAACCCAAGAAAAGTAGGCACTCTCAGGAACTTTGGAATCCCAAAGGCACAACTTTAGGATACACAATTTTGGTACTGAAGAATCAAAACCAACTCTGTTTTTTCCCATGCAATGCTTGTATAGTTAAACAATAGCTTCTCTTTCTCCCCACCCCACGTTGGTCACATTGTCCAGTTATAAATCGTTCTTTTGTTTTGAGAACAGTTCATTTCTTTGTCGGATATCTGCATCCGTGACCTTGGTAGGATCTTGTCTCTCACAGCCTGTTTCTGGAGCATCTGCATTCTTTCTCACCCTTCCCTCCCCCCAGTTCTATGACAGGTTGAATAGCGATAAGACCCAAATGTTTCAAAAGTGGTTCAACCTTGACATAAACTAGAATCTCCATGGACACACAATTATGTCAGGCTTTATTCTTGCTCTCCAAAATTGTAGGAGCAGCAGTATATTATAGGGTTTTTTTTCCTATGTAGGATAGTAAAATTTCAGATCTTTCCTCATACAAGTTGTGCATATATAGCATGCAAATTATAAGCCATTGCTCTCAGATGTACAGTCATATTAGCTACCTTTCTGTGCTGTCTTGTAGTCATTTGTTCATTTGGAAATCACTTGAAATGGAGACCATCCTGATAGCAGATCTATGACAACTTGCCTCAGCCAACTTGTTTCGTTCAACTTGCCACAGCCAACTCTCTGTGGGATAAGATTTACATTAACATCAAAGAAATAGTGAAATGGAATCATTAAAGAAAGGATGCCAAAGGAGGGAGAAAACAAAATGTGAATCACAAAAATTAACATATTTTAAAATTATTTTAAATCATTGAATTGAATTGTCCCTTAGCAAGTTGTCCCAGGCGAGTTGGCCACATTGTCCATGTCGAGTTGGCTGTGGCGAGTTGTCCCAATTAATAAAAGGAGAGGGGTACCTGATAACAGTCCTCTCCTTTCATTCAGAACTATAATGCTTGAGGTGAAAAACCTATACTTGAAAGAGATTTGGAGTGCCAGGTTTTACCCAGAACAGTCTTAATTGCGTGCTGTTTCATTATTTATTTTTTATAGCGCAAGTGAAGTGCAATGTTGATGGAACTGAATACTCGCGTATTACTGGCATCTTTCAGTGGAAAACCTATCTGTTCTTAAGATCTGTCTTTGGCTTCTATTGTATGTGTGGTTTTTTTTTGCATCTGCTCAGTATTGGCAATGTTCATAGTTGCTTCTGACATAAGGATGTTTTCAACTTTGAGATGTTCAAAATGACTGCCACCATAAAATGAGTGTTGTGTTGGCTGTTTATGGGACAGATTAATTTTACAGAATGGGTGGATTGTTCTTTTAGCCTGCACCATTTACTTGAGAGGGAAAGGGTCAGAGTATTCTAAAGGGCAACGATTGAAGTCACAAAAAGCAATCCTGTTTTTAAAATGGACTGTGAGGAAAAGCATGTTTACATCATATTTTACAAACTCCCAGATAAGCTTTTTAAAGGGCAGTAAACACCCAAAGTTTAAACTATTTTTTTTTCTGAAGAACAGGGGAAATTGAATATCAACATTGCAATTCTTTGCTTGTCTCATCAGAAGTACATTTCACTAAATTGGGTTGGACTTATCTTGAAGTAAATGTGTTGAACAATTAACAGTAAGACTGTAAAGAATAAAATGGAGAGTGAGAGTGGAATTTTGCCAAACGTTATTTTGCCCCAGCACTGCAAAACATCTGAAAAGTATTTTGGTATTTTGGAAGGTTTTGTCTAAGAGTTTTATTCTATTCATAAAAATCTTTGCCTCTTGAAAATTAACAGATATTGCTTCACATGATGAAATTAGAAGGAACTAAATTCTCATTTAGAGAACAGAGATTAAAAAATACTTGATACCTTAATCCTAAAGTAACTTGGGCTTTAAAAAATAAAATGCAACCCTAAATTGAATCTGTGGGAATTTAAATGGCTTATCTTTAATCTTAACCACCCTGTGTGCTAAATTTTGATTTTAGTTTTCTTTTGTCTTTTAGTTTGCAGTTACCACTGGTACGTCACAATGGTAAGATTTGTTTCCTTATAATTGCTAATGTATTTGATTTGTTTCATGTTAGTAGATACAGATATTTATTCCAGTTGAATTGCTTTTAAAATCATTTAACATCCATTTGAATTATAATTCAGGATGTATGGGTGTTATCGTATGTGGGCAACATTGTCGATGACTTTCATACAATAATAAAAAAGAGGAAAAAATGCAGAATAGTTTAGTAAAAGTTGCTCCATTATTCAACACATGCACTTGGTATCACAACAAATCATCTTGCCTTTCAGTGTAAGTATTGAAATTAATAGACAGTGTGATGGGAACTTCAATCAGCAGATTTTGGAACTGAATGCAGAATCAAAGGTTTAGAAAACAGAATGATGCATCCTGTAATGACTTTTGTATACTTTGTATTGAAGTATGATTTATCTTCCAGTCAGATTTTGAATATACAAATTGTGGGTATTTTATTTTTTCCTGGAAAGTTGTGCCCTAAAATTAGATCAAAGTTAATAGCCTATTAGATATGCAGATTTAAGATGATAAAAGAATTTGGTAAGAACATAAATCTAAGTGGAGCTGGTAATCATCATGGAAGGCAGTTATAATAAAAAAGGTTTGTATTTTAGCTCTTGAGAGGTAGGAGTAAGTGTGCATATATTTATATGTGTATATATAATCCATGTACTGTTTATTGAAAATTATGGGCCAATATTCTTCCCCACACTCCAGTTTTGTGGGTGGATAGATGTTTTTCTCAGTGTACTCTTATAACCAGCTTCTGTACCTAAGGAAGATAAGAGCCTAGACTTTCACACTCCTATCCATCACTTTAATTTAATACAATATATCTGCCTATCATTGTTCCAATAACACCATACCTGGCAACTAGGCTTTTGCTCTTCATATTTAATTGTAAGGTGCTATGAATGTCCACGCAGAATGTGTGATTGGGAAATTCTCCCTCGAGCCGCTCGGAGCATCCAGAGACTGGGATGTGCTTCTGAGTCCTCTTCTTGCAGGCTGAGCTTTAGATGAGGAAACGCTCCGCCCCCTCACGTGGTATCGCGCAGCGTCTCCCCAGTCTTTTGCTCAGCCTCGAAGAGTCAGGCTGTGTTTTCAGAGAGCTCCTTGGCTGATCGCACATTTCTTTCCTATTACAACCCTCTCGTCTTGATAAGGTTTGCTTTTCCTTCCTCCTCCTGCGCAAAGGGTCTGGACTTAAGGGAAAATTTTTCCCCGTCCTTGGGGCAAGGCTGCGGGCTCGCAGCGCGATAGCGCGACCCCCCCCCACCCTTATCAGATCGCTTCGCTGCCTCCGCGTTGCCTCGTGGCACGCGTTTTTCTTTTACTGCTGGATTCCCCCCCACCTTAAACACCGATCGGGAGGGTCATCGCCCCTAGGGCCCTAGGCGCTGAGCTGACCAGCAAAGCCCTCCCTTCCGTCCCGAAGGTGTCCCGACGGTTCAGCTTGCGGCCGCCATTTTGGCTCCGCATCGTGGTCGGGCGCCATTTTGAATTTCTTTAGCTGCGGTGAATCGGAGCCCCAGGCCTTGGGTCAAAGCTTAGCTGCCCATTTCTTCCACCTGGCTGGCCCTTGTATTACTTGTTGGCCTCCCGCAGCCCGTTTTTCGGGGCGAAGTTGCAGCCCCCCCCCTCCGGTTTTATTTTTCTTGTCTGGAGGCCTGCTGCCAGAGGCTCTTTCTTCTACCATAGGCCTCAGGTGTTTATTTGACTGATTGGCCTGTACTGAGATATACGAAGTTCTCACTGTTACGGTTACTGTTTAAAAAAAAAAAAAAAAAAAAAAAAATCTATCTATATATATATATACTTAATACATATACAAAAGGAATATATTAAAAAAAAAAAATAATAATAATAATAATAATAATAATAATAATTTTTGTCTTGTACAATAATATTTTTTCGTAGATATATAAATATATACGGATAACCTGTATATACATTTGGTACAAAAGCATAATAAAGATAAAAATCAATCAAAAGGATAAGGAAGAATTACAATTAGAGTATCTATTTTTCTGTACATACTATATTTCTTAGATACCTTACTGTTATCTCTGTACACAACAAATTCCAAAAGGGGGAGAGGGCCAGCTTTACCTTCACCCGGCCTCATCCAGGCCTGATCTGGGCGAGCCAACCGCCTTTGCTAGTAATTGTATCTAACATGGCAGACGACAATCCCTCTAAACGTCCTTCTTTGAAGGCTAAGGCAAAGTCCCACTACTTGCGCAGGCAGGACAAGGAACCTAAGGGCTCTAGACAGGACAAGGAACCTTCCAAGGCCGCCCAACGTGACGCCTTAAGGCGCCACAAAGCGTTGGAAAAAGAGTTTGACCGGCGTTCAAGGGAGTCCCGCTCGGAGCCGTCAATACCTCCTCCTCCAAACCCTTCTACCTCTGCTCAATCTCTCCCCTCAGACCCCTCTTCCCTACCTAGGCGCAGTTCGCTTCAGGGTCTTCCGACCCCCGGACCTCCGACCAGACGGACCCCCGAAGCCACCTTTACACCCACAGCCGCTGGTCTGCGCCACGATGAACCCTCTACCTCCGAGGTTCCACCTCACATCAGGGCTTGGATGGAATCAGCCATCCGCCAGGGCATAGCAGAGGGACTACAACACATGACAAGATCAGGCTTCTCTCCGCGAGCCTCCGAGCACGACTTGATATCAATCAGATCCCTTCCACAACCGGTCCCCCCAGTTGATCAGGTACTCTCTCAGAGGGACAGCCCTCCTCCGATTGGGGCCCAGGTGGAGGAGGAAGGGGACTTTGGGGATTTCAGGGAAGAGGAAGAGGATTCCCGGATGGGATCCTCCCGCTACAGTGAACCCCTCTTAGAGGCTGACATCATGGAGGGGGAGATGTCGGAGGACGAGGACCCTTCTCCCGACCAACCCTCCTTTGGGGGGCTGTTCAAACCGCATATGTTCAAGTCCCTCCTCCTTAAGGCCAAGAATGTCTCTGGCCTTCTTTCCCAGTCCACTGCAGAAGCCCCCCCTGTCCCAGAGGGCCCGGAAGACTCCATTTTCACCCAACCAGTGGTGGAAGCTGAGGTCATCCCATCCCCTCCCATCTTCGTAGATCTGGTAGCGAAGCAACTTACCTCCTCAGGGACCCCTCCCACTCCCTCTAGCCAAGACAAGAGATTCTTTAATCTCGATTCGGCTCTGTCTAACCTCCTGAATATCCCGGAGGTTGATGACCCCATTGTGGGTCTAGCCTCCTCCTCTACCCCTAGTGAGGCCCTAGAGGCCCTGAAACCTGAGGACAGGCGGGCGGAGCAGGCGCTACGCAGGGCTCACCTATCTGACGCCTGGGCCATTAAATCAGCTACGGCCGCCTCATTTTTCACGAGGTCCTCTATCCGCTGGCTACGTCAGCTCAAGGACCACATCCCTGCTTCCAATCTCAGAGCTCACCAGGATATAGCGAAGTTAGTGGCTGCAGCCGAGTTCTCGGCTGACGCCACTTACCAGTCGGTAAAATTTTCTTCCAGGGCCATCACGTCGCATGTCACGGCTAGACGCATGCTATGGCTCAAACACTGGCAGGCGGACGTAAAGAATAAGGTCAAGCTGGCCACTGCTCCCATTACGGGAGATAAACTGTTTGGCCCAGCTTTGGAACCACTGCTGGTCGAGGGCCGCAGTAAGAGAAAGTATCTGCCCTCCCTTTTTCGAAGATCGGAGGCCAGGGGCTCTCAGCCCTTTCGGAGGAGCTTTCCACGCCCCTTCTACCAACCCCCCTTCCCGCCCAGATACCCTAGACCCCCTTCCTTCCGATCCCAGGACCGCACGGACCCGGGCGACAGACCCAGACGCGGTGGCGGCTACAAGAGACCCTTTCGGGGATCGGGAGGAAGGCCCTACCGCAGAAGGTAGAGCCTCTTCCTCCCCCCCCCGTTGGCGGCCGCCTCAGCCACTTCGCCGCCCAATGGGACATATCCACATCCGATGCATGGGTTAGGGACACAATCAGGTTTGGCCTCGCCCTGGAGTTCAGGTCCGCTCCCCCTGATTGTTTCTTCCCCTCCCCCTCCTCAAGGGATCCCTCCAAACGTGCACTAATGGATGCAGCCATCCATCATCTTCTTGACATCCAGGCCATTCAACCTGTCCCTCCGGATCAGAGAGGAAAGGGGTTTTATTCCCATCTCTTTGTGGTGCCCAAACACTCTGGGGGTTGGAGAGCCATCCTGGACTTGAAACGGCTCAACCGTCACCTTATCCAGCGTAGATTCAAAATGCACACTTTGCAATCAATTCTTTTAGGCACCAGGCGGGGAGACTGGTTATCTTCCATAGATCTTTCGGAGGCATACCTCCATATTCCAATCAGGCCTTCCCATTTCAAATTCCTCAGGTTCTGTCATAATAGCCTTCATTATCAATACGTGGCCCTTCCCTTTGGACTGGCCTCGGCCCCCCGGACCTTCACCAAGGTCCTGGCGGCTCTGGCGGCTCATCTCAGGAGCGTTCCTGTCCGCCTCCACTGCTACTTGGACGATATCCTTATTCTATCCCCGTCCAAATCCCAGGCAGTCAGGGATACCAGGGTCACCCTCTCCACCTTACAGGCACACGGGTTTCTAGTCAATTGGCAAAAGAGCCAACTTACCCCTTCCACCCGAATCAACCACTTGGGCGCCATAATTGATTCGGTTTCTCAAAGAGTTTTCCTCTCCCAGGAGAGGTTCCTTAGCATTCAAGCCCTGGTCAAACAGATCAGGCGTTCAAGGAGGGTGGCCTTACTGGACCTCTCTAAATTGTTGGGCAAAATGGTGTCATGCATCTCTATTATTCCCTGGGCCCGTCTACACAGCAGATCCCTCCAGTGGTTCCTGCTCCCATTCCAACGATCCGGAAGAAGCAACTCGAAGGCCAGAGTCAGGGTCCCTCCAAGGGTCCTCACGTCTCTTCTATGGTGGACCAATCCCGCCATCAACAGAGGCCACCTCTTCGCGGAACCTCAACGACTCACCGT